AAAATAACTTCATTATTTATCATACGGTGTTTTACTGACCTAAATACCCAAATTGCAGTGAAGTACGCATAGGATAAAATTATTCAGCACTGCTGAACATTAATTATAAATACGTTAATCAAAAACACATTTTAATTTTCACTTCCAATTTGGTTTAACGTATTTAAAAGCTTCGTGAACTTTGGAACTCCATTACAATAATAATTCTCACATCCTGTCTGAACTCGAAGTAAATCAATTATTCACTTCGTGAATAAAACGGAATGCATGCTTGAGTTTGGAAACACCCACTTACATCATGCATGCTATGAGCTCTTTATTTAAATATTAATGACCACTAATCGCTATAAGCTATAAGACATACGAATATTTTAATCGTTAAAAATAAAATAGAACAGTGAAGTAAGTAAGTGTCCACAATTTATACATACGAAATTATTATTGTACAGCGAATTATCATTGTAAGCTCTGTTTAAGAGTGTGTGATCAGGTTTTGTGACGTTTATAATAGAACAAAATTGTGGCATGGTAAACCGTGTAAAATAATCTTATATTTTAGAAAAGAACATACAATTAACTAAGAAAATATATGTAAAGTATTAATTCAAGGAGTTTGTTTTTGAAGTGAAATATATCTATGTTTAGAAGCGCAATATAAACCAATTTTCGTTACATTTCCTGAAACTACTGAAAGGTACGAATTTTATTTCTTAATAATAAAATCTAGTGTCGGAGTATTCGAACATTGATTTAATTATTACAAAACAATAATTAAAATACAAAATATCTTTCACTTGCTCACAAAAATCACAGCAAATATTGTAATACTACTTTTAACTCTATCAATTCTAGGTTTACCATATGTACATTAAAGCCGATGAAATAGCAATATGTCGTTCGAGCAGAAGGAATTTAAGATACCTTCTTCTTTGGCCCAATCCTAACGAAGAACTTAATCCAGGAAAGAATTATACTATCAAAATTTCTATTTATATTTTATTAACTTCTGTTTTGTTATTATCTATACTACTGCATCTTATAACCACGACGATAAGTATTACTAAAGTGAATTCATATATAAACCTAAACTAAAAGAATCTTAACATTTTACTAGAACATTTAGACATCCCACTTACAGAAGATATCACTGTATTGTCATCGATGTCTGGAGTATACTACATAACATACGTATATGTAAAAAATCAACCGAAACTAGCACAACTTTTGAAGGATTTTTCGGATTTTAAACAATTTGGAAAACCGCCTTATTTTGACAAAAAAGAAAAAATTTTGAATTTGTTTTCGAATATGGTTTTCATTTTTGGTATATTAGGAGCACTGCAATATTGTGCATTAAAATTTCTCCAAAAAGAAAAGTGCGAAGAAAGAAATATCTACAAAGGTTTTCATGAAAACTGTGGATTTCCTACTGCACTCTGGACACCTTTTAGCACAAGCAATATTTATGTTTACTGTTGCTTTTACGTATACATAATTATATGCATTCAGTTGATAATGAAACCAGCCATGTTGGTAACCTGTATTGTTTTTGAAATAATGCAACATCTAGTCTTGAAAATTCACCACTTAAATCAGTTGCTTTCTCAGTGTTTTGAAGATGCTAGCTACGACGTTTCACGCATTAAATTAAGCAAATGTATTTTATATCACGTTGATATAATCAGGTAAGTAAGATAAGTGTCTTAATATTTAACAAAAATGAACATCTCTTCAGGTTAGCCTCCACTTTAGATGATTGCTTTTCAGATGGTATGATGTCACATCTCACAGTAACTGTTATAATTTTTGCGTGTTTAGAAAAACAGTTTGCTGAAGTAATAAACAACAAATTTTGTAGGCAGAAATATACAACGTGTTTCTAGGGCGACCACATTTGTGCTGTTGTACACTTCCTGGGTTGGATTCTTACCTTAGTAATTGCGTGCCTATCGGGCCAAACCTTGATCAACGCTGTAAGCTACAAATTCTGGTTGTAGTCGTTCTGATTGTATTATTTCTAGAGTGAATCAATTTTCTGGTCAGTGTGGTTTTCAAAATGGTATGAAGCCGATATCAGGTTACAAAAAGACATTTTGTTTATGTTGGCAAGAACCAAGATCAATTTTTATCTCACTGCTGGGCCATTCAATATTCTCTCATTTCCACTGCTAGTTTCAGTAAAATCTTGAATCAGCTGTTACAGATCTGTTTAACTAGAATTTTAAAATTGCAGCTGCTTCAGACATCGTATTCGGTGCTATGTTTATTAACATCGTAAAGGATCGCCACAACAAAAATTTCTTGTTTTGACATATTATTCCTATAATGCTTGTAGTTTGTTTTTATTATTAAATACATTATTTTTGCTTGTGTCAATAATTTTTGCAATTATACTTTTTCAAATTGTAAATTAATAAATAATACCTAACTATGGAAAAATAACATTTATCGAGCGAACAATATTTTTTTTATTAAAATTGTTACATTCTTCTGATTTAGTTATTTCTAAGTCTGACATTTTAGTAAAGTTGGAAATGCAAAAAAAAGGGTAAGAACCTTTTGATAGAATAAAAAAGTTTCTCGATATCGTATTCTTTCTTTACATATATGACGTGGTTATCACTTTGGTGGAAGCTTTAGCTGGATTTCTCAGTATTAATTAAGTTAGTGTTCTTACAGTCAACGTACTTTCAAGGAAAGTTAAAAATAGAACTAAAAAGTTCATAACAATGTACCGAAACGTGACGCAGGGGTCATAAATTCGGAGGTACGCATGAAATTACAATAATTGACTATAAGTAAAGAGCTGCGAGGCCGTTTTAATTATAGGCGTGCACAACTGTGTCCGCACGATAATCAAGGTCATGCGTTTGCATTCAGAACAAGTGGTTGCTCGAGATCTTCGACATATGCAATGGGTACTCGACGCCTATGTACAGGTGTTGATTGCACATTTGAGCAAGAATTCCATCGTCCCTTTTCTTTTATATGTTGTGTTTAATGATTAAATTAATATTATGCTGTTAATAATGAGAAGTCAAATTAACAATTTACTGCAAAAAGTGGTGGTCGAAATTAAAGTAGAACACTAAGACTACTTCCACCGCAAAAATCATCAGAAAATTAACACGCGGTCTAAAATTTAACATGGGAATCTTTGTGGCCACTTTTAAAAACGATGCACTGTATATAAGTAGATTTATTTAGATATCTTACATAAGACAACTGTTTTCAGTCCGTGACTTCAACATTTTGTTACATGCATCGCCATATAAAATTTCATAAATATTAATCATCAGGAAATCTTTATGCAAGAAAAGCAACGTCTTTTATAACACTTTGCTCACGCTCAGGAAATGAAAATAAAATTTTATAATTTCTCGAACACTTTGTTATTTTTTATTTAACAAAAGTTATTTTTATTTAATTTAAAAAGGTTGATATTGGAGAAATGAAAAACTATGACTATTATGTGGCAAAAGAACAATGACGTTAAACAATAACAACAATAAAAATGATAATAATAAACAAAATCAGAGCAGATTCACAAAACACAAGTGTGGGAGTATAATATTTAAGTTATATTTATTGTACTAAATTTTGTGGAGATGTCATCACGTTGTTGGTGAGGACGATTAGACAAATTTTGCTTAGCGTTTTACCATCTATATGATAGAGGTAATATACACACAAAATTTAGCAACAGTCGGTCCAGTAGTTTCGGAGATTATTTGCCTAATAAAAATTCGGACAAACGGCAAACGACGGACAGACGGAAACTGGATACCCATTTTTTCGTACTCTTAGGACCATGACACATCGAGAAAATATCAAAGCAACCAGTCGCCCGATGTTCTCGACTACAATATTTCCTTAGCTTACGTTCGGGAAGTAGAAACCTTATTAATTTTTGCATAATTGAATTCTTACAGAAACTGTCTGTATGATTTAAAAGTAAGGTACCTTAAGTCCTATTCGCGCAGTCTCTAATGAAATGATATTACATTTGGAAATTCAGCCTCAAATAACACAAAAATACGAGTTAAAAATGGTTTGAAAACTTTCTACTATTAATTAATTTACGTCTTTAAGTTCGGATTAATATGAAAAACAGAAGGTAGCCTTGCGTGAAATATGTCCAACAAGCGTTAGTTTGTTTTCATTCATAGACGTATATGGATAATAACGGACCTAAATTGTAGGTCCTTTCACGTACAAACTTTGTACCGTACGCGGACGGACGAACACAAATGTTTTTCGCTGCTAGTGTCAGGACCCATTCTCCACTGGATTAGTTAAATAAGGGTAGGGACTAGGCAGCAACACATATTTTCTGCTGTTTTTACTAATAAATAAATATTGTTGAAGTGACACATTTTTTTTTTTAATGAAAAAAATCTGTCAAATTATTTTAAACTAATAATACAACATACCTTTACGAATTCGTGACACACTGTTTTTTTTGTTGCGACATAGAACCTGTACGCTGTTTTCGTATGCACTTGATTTAAATTCGTATTCCCATTAAGGCAAACGTGCGTATGTAACACGTACTTCGGTAACACGTAGGTTTCATTTGTGGTTCTTAATGAATATAGAGATAATTTTCTGTATGCGTTAGGAATCACGAATAATAATTATTTTTTAGAGATAATAGTTGGGAGAACGATAATGAAAATTATATTATGCCAACAGTCTAGCAGTAGATTCAGCGTTGACACATGTTAAATATACTAATGTGAGTAGTTGTTATTGTGTCGGTTTTACTCATTTGTGAAGGTAAAGTTTACTCAAATTTATTTCTCCACTGCTGTAAATGTTGTTTATTAAATTATAATATTTACAAATTTTATTAACCAGAAATAACTGTCTTAATTGCACGTAAGGCAAAATACACTATTTCGACAGAAACTATTGCAATTTTGTATTACACTTAGTGCAAAGTGCTGATGCACAAACTAAAAATGTCTATATTGTAAATTTTTGACTTATATATATATAGTTATTTCAAAAACTGGAATCCAGTGAGTAGTGTATTTTACTTAAGAATATTGCAATTTTACTTGATTTTCATAATTTTTTCAAAATATTTTTCTGTCCTTATCTTATTAAAATTAATTTTGTTTCAATGTTTCACTGTGTATGTTTTTCGGTACTGATGGTTGATTAATATCTGCATTTTTTTAAATTCTTTATGCTTTACTTGGTTAACACATGCAGCTTAAATTTTCATTTAAAAACTGTATTTTTATATTTACTCCATTTATAAATTTGATCTTAGATAAAAAACCTATGGAAGTCCATTTTCCTTTATACATTGGACCCCAAGTTTCAATTTCTCATCAAAGAAGGGTGTGCAAAAAGAAAATAGAAGGCCCATGGCGTAATTTAAAAAAGCACCCATTAAAAAGTACTGATTAAAGGTTAAGTAATTAAAAATCACTTAAAATACGGAATTTTACAGTTTGGATTTTCCGTCATGCGATTTTCAACGTCTTCCGTTTGAACATTGTTTTTCAAAAACCAATGACAAGAATGACAGTAAATACATACGACAATTAATCTACGCCCCACGTTTTGTCTTGCACAGCCATTCTTGATGACAGATTTTTTTAATCATATGGTACTTTGGCAGACTATGAAAACTATGTGCCGCGCGGACCATATCAATAATTCTTTAATTCATTAATAAATATTTAAAGATGACCTGCTTCCAATAGAAGTTGTGTTGATCGTTATTTCACTAAAAGGGTGTACTGAATTAAAAGTCACCAACATCTGATATTTAACTAAAATGTTCTATCATAAGCAGAGTTAGGCACAGCCGAAGTGACGGGGAATCAATCAGACAAATATTGAATACGACGGCCCGATCACAAACGATAAATTTGGCCAGTCGACTGTGCAGTCTCAACGTCAGTGGCGTTTGATGCAATTCAGGTTTTATCTAATTAAGATCATGACGAAAACTGTGATGTTGAACAGTCATTTTTAATTTTTAAAGCATTGTAATATCTAGGATCACGATTGCAATAGCGCTGGCGATCGGACGGCAATGAGCATCACTTTCGCAATGCCGCAGTCTGGTTCTAAGAAATATAAAGTCGAATTCATGCATGTGATCAGAAGCGAACCTATGAACACGCTGTGAACTAAGCAACTGGACTGGTACTTCGTTAGTCAAAAACATGTCTGCATTTAGAACGTCAAAACGTGCATCAAGAAGACATGAATGTCGTAAGATATTTTAGGTTAAAATTCAGACTACACACATAACATAAGCGCAATACCAATACCTGCTAGGTGTTTGCAGCTTAGAGGAATTAATTATTTTGTAGTCTAATATTGCATGTATTCGTTTTAGCTTGTCTTAATGTAATGTATTAATTTCTTTTTGAAACAACATGCCCTTGTAAGGAATAGGTGTTTCCTGCATACAGATGCAATCATGTGATGCGCACCTTATTAGGTAACACACGTGGATGTAATCTGCAGTCTGTCACCATATCCGACTACATTTTGGGAACTGTTCTTCCGAAAGAGACCGACCATCGAAAAAATGTGTTTAGAGTTGAACGTAGAACCTTAGCGTATTAACTTACTGTTTAACAAAGTATACTGCATAGTTTCATTTCCATTCCAGATTAAATTGAATTACCATAACCCTAATTTCTTCAGATTTTGGAAACAGGATATACTACATAAAGAAAGTTAAAAGAATTTGAAGTAATGTAATGATACTGTTTTTACATCAACATACTATTATTTATCAATTAATTGGGCATCGTCCAAAATACTGTTCATAAATTATTATAATATAATAATATTATAATTATAAGTGCGGGAAGTTTATGCAAAAGCATGCAAATCCATTTTTTGCGTATAATAATATGAATCAATGACGTTTAATTTATACTTAGTAGGGTTCACGGCATTAACTTTTCACATTGCATGTTTAATTCGGAGTTATAATTTGAGAATATAATTTACCCGTTTATTTATTTTTGTAGTTTAGTAGTACTTCAGCAAATTTAGAAAACTGTATGTTATTTAAAAATACGTGACAAATCACGAGGCCAGGCAATCTAGAGATCTGACTGCTGGTTTGCGCGGGAAATACTGCATACTTTTTAGATAAAAGGAGTCTATGATAAGCGCACGTAGGAGATGATAGACAGAGAGCTAATATATAGAGCTAATGTATTGGAAAGAAATAGGACAAGTTTACGTGCGCACACCACAGCCTCCCTTTCTTCTCTAAAGAGTTTGGGATCATACCATAATATCATAAATAATTATTGACAAAGAGTTCGCAAAGGAATCCAACGGAAATATTTATACAATTGTTTACAACTACCAGTACAAATAATTCTTTCATTTTCAACTGAAAAGCGTATAACTATATTAAGTACTAGATATTATGGAGTTAAGGGTAATCAAATAGATTTGAGTTGCAGTCAATATAATTGTCACTGATACATAAGACATGGAAACGAATGATTTATTTCCAAATCCAAATATACTGCATTTACAGTTTTAAACAGTATCACTGCTAATTTTCTCTGGTTGCCCGACAATAGCTACTTGTAGTCAATATCCACGTAATGTAATAAAATTCTGGAATCTAATTGCTTAAGACAACAACCTATTTTTACCAGAGTGTTCTTTATCAGTTTGAATATTTTATATAAAAAAATTACATATTAAGGTGCAATTTTAGTAGGACTGCAGCGAGTCAACGAGCCGCCATTACTCCGCCAATGCAAAGAAAATATCATTTTATTATCCTTTGTAAAAATAATTCCTTTCTGTAAAACACATTTAAATTTGGTACTCCGTATTTCGTTCACAATTCACCATTTAACAATGGAAATTAACAATGCAATATTTGGATTCTACAATTTTTAGGTAAAATGAATGACTGCAATAAGTTTTATCAAATGTAGATTTTATATAAAAATAAAGAAAAATAAGTCTCTTTATTTTAACAATATTTAGAAAAAATCGAATCAAAACATCAATAACTTAACATTCATTGTTCGTTATACTTAGTTAACTACTTCACCACGCGATTTCTAATATCGTTTCAATTTTTCATTTATTTCACATTATTAGTCCTTACCGTTTTACTTGTTCTGCGCGTGAAGTTGATTAAGAAATCTTAATCTTAATTATCTCTGAAAAATGTATCTATTATTATCTGTAATTATTGATGTGGAAATATCATTTCCACAAATAAGAATACAGGTATGCAGCATTATGAATTTTGTTGACTAAAATTTTAGAGAAAATAAGTTCAATCATTTCCGAAAAATCATTAAATAAAAATGTTACTGTTAAGTAAAAAATTAAATTATTTGTTTAACGAGCAACAAATCTATTTGAAATTTAAATTTGTAAAATTTCGAATTTAATAATTTGAAACTCAATCTTTCTTAAAAAAAAATCGAAAATATTTGTAACATCTATCACAACAGAAAAAGAGTTGCACAAATTACAGTTGCTTTTTTTAAATTTCAGATTCATCAAAATTGTTAAGTTTCTTTTTTATTTATTTCACATTATTCTTATTGTTCTGCGCGTGAAGTTGAATACGATTTCTTTCCCAACCCCAAACCTAACGCTGAAGAGCAAAACAGCAAGGAAGTACGTAATAAATAATAGTTTAAAAAACTAAAAAAACACGCTTTTATTGCTAATCGAACTAAAAACTAGAAAATAATTTTTAATGACAGAGTTTAATATTACAGTAGTAGAAGATCAAACAATCAATCATAATAAATCACCTCAAATTAAAATTATAATAAAATTTAAGTTATTAACAGAATAATTCAATTCAGAGTAAAAAGCGTGGGGTGCTTGATATTTTAAATATTACAATCATTCTATTGGCAACTATCTATGAGAGGACAGTTATGAACCGCAGTAAAATGCACCCCACGCTTTTTACTCTGAATTGAATTATTCTGTTAAAAACTTAAATTTTATTATAATTTTAATTTGAGGTGATTTATTATGATTGATTGTTTGATCTTCTACTACTGTAATATTAAACTCTGTCATTAAAAATTATTTTCTAGTTTTTAGTTCGATTAGCAATAAAAGCGTGTTTTTTTAGTTTTTTAAACTATTATTTATTTTTCATTTTTTAGTCTGCGACAAATTTATAAATGGGGGAATTAATTACTTATTTAGATTTTTCTAGAAAGAACCACTCAGTGGTCTCCGTAGGATCGAGGATCCTGGCGGTCCTAATAAGGATAATGGGAAACTGTTATCAAATTATTGCATTGTCATCGATCCTTGAGACGTGTGCAAAGTTTCAAGATGATCAGACTTTTAGAAACCGATGAAAATTAAGCTCAAAGATTCCGTTACATACATACATAGATACAACCCAAGCTAATAAAAGCGTGATAAAAACGGATAACGGTACTGTATCGATTACTGCTTGGACATGGGGCAAATCAGCACTGAATCTAAACTATGTTTCGCTTCGCCCAAGTGCGACATGCGGCAAATCTGCACCAAACAGTAGAGGCGAAAATCCCTCGGACGCGATCTGGATATGCGGCAAACCAGTTCTAAGGTGACGAAATAACAATATGAAAAAAAAATCGGCAGACAGACGGACGGACAGACAAACATACAGACGGACAGACGCTTACGTTCGGAAAGTAAGAAACACAATGTTGTTAATTTGACTAATGAAAGTTTTCAACCAATTAGTAAAAATATCACGACTGAACTATTATAAATCTTAAGTGAGAAGTTTATGAATTGAGTAAAAACTTAAAAACACGCGTAACTTTGGATATATCGCTACCAAAGTAGAGTTAAGAATGAATAAGTGAATTTCTGCCACGTGGTTTTATATGCACTTTCCATGGTCATAGTTAAATTGATGAGAACCATGAAGAGTTAAAAATCTTAATGTGAACTGTGAATTCACAGACAATAAAACAAAAATGGTCGAAGATTTACACATTTCAGATTAGAAAAGTATTAATTAAGTGGCTAACCC